ATTAGAAAAGACAAAGAAGTGAAGACTTATTGCTAAAACAAATGTGTTCCTTATTAGTCACTACGTAATGCCGATCCCTGTTTGAAGGCCTTCATGTTGTAGATATGAGGAATAACTGTCAGTGTGTGCAGGGCCCAAACACTAGAGCGTGATTCATTTTTTCCTATTAAATTATGTTGGCTGAACAAATCTTTGCTTTGCAAACTCTAACCTGATAAGAGTAATCTCTGTAGCCCTTTTCAAGTTTCACTCGTAAAAACACGCACCGAGAAAGGGGCAGCGTCCTCCGAGTGTTAAGAAAGAGTGTGAAGTGAGGCAAGTGACAGTGCAGGTGTGCTTGAGTGTGTTTTACTAAAAAAACAAAACACATCACTCACATGAGAACACACACAGGTTAAAAACATTTGCTCATTTACGAAGCTGTCCACTCACACGAGGAAGTTTTTAAAAAGCATTATCTAAATCAAACCTCATCAATGGCGGTATATAGAAATTCCACAGCCGCTCAAGGAAATCCTCTGTATAAAAACTTTTTTTTAGAGTGTTTCTTTTATTGTCTCTCTCTCTCTCTGTTCAGCTAATATTAAAAACCAGGAACTGGGGTGTCGACACCTCTCAGTAGAAAACAAATAAAAGAACAACCAAACAAGTTTTAAAACCTAGGCTCCACTTTCTCCTGCACTGTGACTCCTCCCGAGGAGTTCAGAGGAAGAAGAAGTGGAAGGAGAGAGGAGATATCGGACTCTCTCTCTCTAAGAGACTAATTTGGGTAGGACCGTGCGAAGCGGTATGGCCTCCCCAGAGTCTCCCATCATGTTGCTCCTCAGTTTGTTGTTGGCAGCTGTGGTGCCTAAGCCAGGCCCCCCTTTGGCCAGGATAGAGGGGAAGGAGGTGCTGTGGTGCTCGGGGAGCCGTTTCACCGTCGCCCCTTGGCTCTTATCAGTCCCAGGTAGGGGCTTGGGTAGGCGCCGATACAGCCAAGGGTGTCTGAGGGCCAGGCTAGGGGTGAGACGAGACGAGGGATCCCAGTCCAAACACTTCTTTATGAAGTCAGTAAAGGTGGGGTCCTCGCAGCCCTTGAGCGCAGCGCTCCACTCCTTGCTACCTGGAGGACCTCTCATCTTGCCACGGCGGGAGCGAGACCCCGTCAGTACAGTGGCCCCTGTGGGCAGGGTGTTGGCTCCGCAGTAGCGAGGGTGGCCCTTGGAGTTGATGAAGTTCTTTGCCCTTTTGGCCTGCTCCAGGACCTTCTGCGGAGGCATGCCCAGGAGCTCCATGACACAGGCCAGCTGGTCGCCCTCGTCCTCGCCAGGGAATAGTGGGTAGCCAGTCAGCAGCTCAGCCAAGATGCAGCCGAAGCTCCACATGTCAATAGGAAGGCCGTAGCGTGAACCGAGGATCACCTCTGGAGCTCGATAGAAACGAGACTGGATGTAGGTGTACACTCGCTGGTGTTCAAAACAGCTGGAGCCAAAGTCAATCACCTGGCAGAGACAGCAGAGTAAAGAATAGTACAACATTTTTACACAACGTGTGATCGGACTTGTACACAATTTCACAGGATAGCCATGAACGTGCATTACCTTGATGCCGCTGCGTCCCTGTTGTTTGAGCAGGATGTTCTCTGGCTTGAGGTCACAGTGGATGATTCTATGCCTGTTCAGGGCCTCCAGGCACTGCAGGATGGAGTGTGCAAACTTTCTGACCAGTGGCAGGCTGAAGCCCTGGAACTTGTTGCGCTTGATAAGCTCATACAAGTTCATGCTCAGCAGCTCAAAGGTCATGCAGATGTGGTTGCGGAAAGTGAAGTTTTCAAGCATGTGCACGACATTCATGGTGCCATTGCGATCCTGCTTGCGCAGGTGCTCCAGGATGCGGATCTCCTCCTGCGCCTGCCGGTGAAAGCGCTTCTCGTTGCGCACCATTTTCAGAGCCAGATGCTGCTGCAGTTTGTGGTCGTAAACCTTCGCCACCTGGCCAAAGCTACCTTTACCAATAATCTAAAGAGCGCAACAGAGAGGGAGATAAACATTGGATTAGCTACAAATCAGAGAGAGACAACATCATTAACTGTCAACTGTAACAGCCAACATTCACTGTTTCTGTGTCTGACCTTGAGGAACTCGTAGCGGTAGGCCAGGTGGTCATGGGGGGCATGAATGTATCCTCCCTGCTCGTCATCGTAGCCACAGTTGTTGTTGCCTCCAGCAACAGCAGGCCTCTTCTTAGCGTTGGGTCCCACAAAGTAGATGTCTGGGTAGGAGTGGATCTCGGTCTGCTCCAGGGTGGTCAGCTGAGATCGATATAGTCTCAGAGCCTGGTCAGGGGTGAGAGGGCCACACAGCTTCCCACTGTTCCCTCCATTCCCAACTCCGTGTGGGCCTGAGGATTCACTGGAGCCCTTACTGGATTCAGTGCTGTGGCGAACAAGCGTAACAGAAACACGGTGATGAACAACTCAGAGTTCTGGCCACTTAACATGTTCTCAAAGATGTTTTTAAGTTCCCTCTGTGTTTTCATGCATGTATCTTTTTCACCTGTCTACACTGCGCTCCTTGGATAAGCTGGAGACCGGGGCAGGTTTACTGGGCGTCTGACCAGTGGTCCCACTGTTCTGAGTGGTTGGTGTGGTTATGGCATTGATCTTTCGGTTGTTGGCAGAGTCTTCGTACAGGTACTTGACCTTCAGCTGGCCACCTCGCACAGTTACCTGATCCCTCATTACAGTCTTGTTACTGACAACCTATTAGAGGAAGGAGAGAGAAAGATAGATAGACAATGGACAAAAAGAAAGCTATTAGAAAATCTGTTTGGTAAACACTCCTGTAGTGAGTAGAGTGTACCTATTGTACATCTTTGTGGAGAAGACAGTTTATTGTTTGTGACCATATTCAACATGAGTGACGAGAGGACCTCTCTGTTTTATTGTGTCTCTCCAAAGACTAGTGACACATTGTGCAGAACAGGGGCTACTTGTAGCGGGCAAGACCTCAACTGAGGGGCAACTGAACAGTCATGCACAAACAATGTCTTTGTTGGCTTGAATCTTGTCATTATTTCATATATAATAATATAAAATAGAGTTCATTTTGTAAGCAAAGTAGAGGGAACGACAGAAATGCTGAAAACAGATGCTGGCATCTCTGTACACGTTTCCACACTGGCATGGAAAGAGTGCAGAGAAAGTGAAATTCCCAATGAACTCATGATTCATCCAACAAACCAAAAGTAGAACATGCAGCTCGGGATTTGTTTGATGCAGGCCTAAATATCAAACAGCCAACTTCAGAGTCTTGAGCAATGATCCACTATCAAAACTACAGCAAGCTTAGGTGAACGAGCACAACTGGAACTAGATCCAGTCTGGTAGGAAATTCAGAATTCAGAAATTCAGAACAGAACTCATACAAAAGGACCCACATCCCTGCCTACTCGTTTGTTTGCTAGCTGTTAGCAATTAGGTAAAAGGTCTAAGCAATCTTTGACTCGGCATTGCAATAACAAAGTCCAACATTCAACTTCTTGAAAGGATTTGAACATTTCAGTTGGGCTTCGATACAACTGCCAACAGTGGCTGACCGCTGTCACTAAAACCTACAACTGTTTCTGGATTACACAACCACGGTACATTTTAAAACACGTCTGCCCATAAACTTTAAAAGTGACAGATCCACCTTTGCTTGGGATGACCTGAAAAGTTGGAATAGTTTCGGGAAGGCTCTAGAGCCTGGCCTTCACCCTGCCAGTAAACAGCTTCATTTCAGCAACCCCAGGAATTCTTTCCTCCTCACTCCCCGTCTCTCCCTCTCTTACCAGCGGAAAGAGCCCTCCGCAAGATTATGGAGCACAAGGGAAATGACAGTCATTAAAGTTAGATTATGCTCTTAAAACTGTAAAAGCAGCGTGACTGTTAATAAGACACGCTGACATAAACTCGCCGTGGCCTTCCTATATAGACACACTGGAGAGGCGTATTTACTGGGTCTGTCTCTTTCACGTGACCACTTCTGATTTGAATGGCAGCGTGGTCCCACTCGTCTGAGTGAGGTTTTTCTTTTCTCCCGTTAGATCGCTATGCTGCCCTGTGGAGCCGCTGGCTTCGGCTTGTACACACAGCTGAGCCGGTCTGTGGCTGAAACCATGTCAGCTGATGAAGACGACACAACAAGGAAATGTACATTAAAAGTAGGCGCTGACATGTTCCACTGAAAGAGGACTCAGCTTGGAGTGTGTATGTGTTGTAAGTTCGAGTCCTAAAATAGAGGTGGAATGCAGGATGGGTTTCCATACATGTAACCATATAGTCTTAACTTATTACAACGGCCCTACTGCTGACCCAGGGTCCCATGCAGCTGTTGTCCCAAAGCTGTACTACAAACACAGTGAATGTCATTGATTGAGCCCCTTCACCCGCACACACTGACACAAATGGCGGTTTAAAAATCAAAGCTTTCTACACGTGCAGCACCGACTGTGGTAGGAGGTGCAATTAGAAGAAAAAATAAAATAACACGCTTAAAAAGGTGATTGGATATGAAAACTAGTGTGAATCTTCTTCACCACAAGGTAATACCGAGGGTGGACAGTCCTCTGTGTGCAGATCTACATGGTGCAACAGATGGAGGAGAGCTAATCTCTTTGCTGTAAGAGAAACACCTACCTACGTATTCTTTTCTCCAAAGCGCACACTCACCGAGTTGCACAACTCTCTACGTGTAGACCTTTGTCAGACCCATCAGCAAATGATGCAGAGATATAAACAGTGTCACAGAAGTAACTAAAAGGTCGTCTGTAGTAGTGTTGAACGGAGCAGGCCATTTACCAAGCATTTATGTTGTATTACGACCAGGAACTAAGTGCTACTACTAATAGTTTTTAGTATTAGTTTGTCCTTTCCTCTAACAAAGAACAGGGATGACATCAGTTTATTACTTTAATAGAGCATGAGGCAAGCTTTAGAAGCTGAACTGGGGCGAGCCACTGTCAGTCACGTTCAGAGGATATTACCTCTGTGACCGTGACAGAAAACACAAAAGGAAAAGGGACAGGACTAGAATAGAAAACTAGGCCTAACCTCTTAGCAAGCCCACTGATGGTGGATTACACGGGACAGAAGAAAGGGGGGAGGAGGGGGAGAATGTTGATTGGTGATTTTGTTTGTGGGTCACATTTTCAAGCCCAATAAATCTTTACAATATATCAAACCAGCCTTTTTTCCCCTTTGCTGGTGGAGCATCATTGTCTGCATGTGTGCACTTTCTGCCAAAGGGGCTTTTCAGAGAGGGAAACATAGTGGAAAGGTACCTCACAGGGCCTATCTTGTCCGTATCTCGTCTAAACAGTCAAAAATGGTATTCAAAGATATGAAAAAAAGCAGCAGCAATATTTACTGATCAGCAAGAAGCAACTTAGAATAATCACTTATAATAGGTCAAACTTACTGAAGCCTATAAATCAGTGAGAATTAACCTATAAATATACATGACTCCACGAATCAAACGCGGTTTGTGACTGCTTCTTCTGTTAAGTAATTTGTCCAAGCAGATGAGGGCAGTCGTGTAAATGTCAATACACTGTACATTGATGAATTTGCATCCTGTAAACTATGAAATGGATATAAAAACACTGTTTGCATACTGCAAATGTCCCCACAGCTGGTAATTGCAGATCTCTGTATTTAGTTTGGCTGGAGACACAAAATGGCCACTTCTCTTCAGCTACTCTGACACAGTCACGAGAGCTGTCCGCCGCAGCACACTCGTATAGCCTCAGGCAGTCGATCAATATTACTCACATGATCACTTGTTATTCTCGCTGAAGGATATGCAAACATGACTGAATAACAAAGGTCGGCGATAAAAGAAATAAGACAAGAGATAAGCCACCGACCCTGCCAAACAAGATTTAGGAAACGAGGGAGGAGTGCAAATGTGATGAATGGGAACAGGGCTGAGTGGGGAATATCTCTCTGAGGAACAGGATGTCTGGAGACAGAGCGTGCTTCAGAACAGGAAATACGGCTTTACTGACTTTGTGCGTGCGTACGTGTGTGTGTTTGTGTGTACTTACTGTGTGTTTGGGCATGGGGGGCAGCCCAGACGGACTTTTTGTATCGGCTTCGTCTTTAAGGATGTGGTCTGTCCTCATGTACGAGTCATACAGACCATCGCCATGCCGTGCTGAAGGAACAAAGGTGAACAAATAAATCAGCGTGATGAAGTGGAATCATCAAATCTGCAACATAGACACACTCGGGGATAAAGCTTGAGGATGACGTTCAGAGGTTACGCCTACAGAATGCAATCTAATCTCCACAGAGGGAGGCAATCCCCCGTTTGTTTCAACAAGGTGAACGTCCCATTGATTATTTCATCAGTCAACTCACCAGTTTCAATGGTTGACTTGAGACACACAACAAAAGTTCGTTATGGCCCAAAACAATCCCCAGAGCTAGCCTCAGCGGGACAGCCCCACAACACTGGACTCTGTAGACCAGTGGGGAGGCACATTGTCTGCCACAACATCCTAACCCACATTTACTGTGAAAAGGCCATTATTAGCAGATACATCCATTGTATCTATTGTGCCCAATACATTGTATCCAAGGCCAGAGCTCCAACCTGACCAGCTTAGATAGGGCTTAGGGTCCCAGATCGCTAGCGCTGCAAGTGGTATTATTGGCCTAATAGGGGTAACAGATGCCTCTGTGACGACAGCATCTTTCCGTCTGCCCATCTGTCCATTCAGACCGAGTCATGTAGTGCACACACCAGGTGTGCTCAGAAATAGAGCTCATATAGAAGGATGCGGGTGCACGCCATTCAACAGTGCTGCGTGTGGGTGCTCACCTCTGTGGCGTCGAGCCAAACGCCTGATGTGAGATGATACACACAGAATAGATGGATGGGGGGTGGGGGCATGTGGGGCATGTGGGAGGAAGCCAGTTACTCAAATGACAAACCTCCATGAACCGGCTGTTCATCTGAACGGTCGTTTACCCCCACGTTGCTACTTCAATAGAAGTAAGCTGCCAGTATTAATCTGATAGCTTGAAACGAGGCTGAGTAGCCTGTTAGCATAAGCCATTTATAGAGCTATTGTATTGGGTTAGCTCATTAGCAAAAGCCCAAAACTTGTGGCAGGTTCGGTGTTCTCTCTCCGATTAGCCCTTGAGAGTGTTGTAACCATGTGCAGGTGCGTCAGAGCCCGTGTACCCAGCTCGTCAACAGACCAGCTCCGGGACAGATTAGACCTGCTGCCTGGATACAGATGCATTAGACCTGCGCAGCGAAGCACACAGAGGCATTAGGGCCCCACACGCAATATTAGCGAGCACAGACCCCCATTAGCTCTCTGCAAACTCCTAATCACTCAGCGGGGGCTGAGCACTTTATGCACAACAGCTGACTTTGTTGTCCAAGCAAACTTTCCAGTGGGGGAAAAAAAAAAGTTAAACAGAACCCGAACTTCATACATAAGCAAACATCCAGCATACTAACGTTAGGTCCAACTGGCACTGCAGCTCTCCACACTGTGAAACCCCCGCTCTCTAGAGAACAAGGTTCAAACAGACAGACATACAGCCGATCATGTGTCATAAAACGTGTGAGTGGGGTAGAGTCACAGCTCTTCCTCCAGCTATCCTCCTCTTCCTGGTGGACAGAGTGTCTCCTTACAGACAACACATCCAATGTACAGCTGACGGAGGCTCGAGGGCAACGTCACACAAACGGTACATTTTCTACAACAGATGCAAGTTTTAGTTTTAACTCCCTAGTGCACAAAAACACACAACGCAGAGGCAAACAAAGGTGAGGTCGGTGCAATATACATATAAACAATAACAACGACGACGCGTCATGGTGCAAATTCCAACAGTTGTTTTTTTTAAAAAAAAAGGAAAAAGTAGCTGATACAGATATGAAGGCTTATCTTAAGCGTGATAAGAAGACAAATGCTTACGAGGAAGAAGTAAAAATCAACACAGAGCTTCCTGGACTGTCTTCAAAGCACGCACGCACACAAGTCTCGTGAGTGATGTGAAGTTGCAAAGCGAAAAATAACATGTTTACAACGGAACGACGCGACGTGACCTTTAAACCGGGAAATATGGCAACCAAAGCCACTCCAGTCACAATATATGTCTGCAAGTGCCAAGAGTTGATCGAGGGCGAAACTAAAAGCCAGTAACAAAAAAAAACACACCGAGCTGCCATGCTGGCAATGTTTCACCTCAACGCCGAATCTGCATTAAACAAAGGCAAACATTTAGTAAACAAAGGGGGGTTACTGACAAAAGACTGCAACACTTCTGTTGTGGTTACCTGTTGCTATTGGGCCCTCTGGTTTTCTGCTTATTATCATCATGATTGCAATTAAAATGTGATGCCAGCATCCGAAGTGGAAAAACCCCCGAATAAAAATTTAAAAAAAAATAAAATAAAAGCGTCAAACAAAAAGATTCAAACTAGAGTCACGTTGCAAACTTTGCTAACAGCATTCATAAACTGTTTGCTAAAAATGTAAAACAAAAAAAAGAGTCCGAGAAACCCTTTGAGCTGTGGTTTCGATTCAACTAGCTCAAGTTATTCTCTCCTTGTGATTAGAGAGCTCTTTTCTTCTTGGCTCTGACTGTAATTATTCTCTTTTTAAAGCCTAGAGCTGTGTATTCACTGTGCCCTGGCTAACATTAGCTCTGGCTGCAGTTTTGAAGGACCTGAGCAGGCGGTGGGGGTCGTCTCCCCTCGGTCAGCTAGCCAGCTAGCTCGCACAGCCACACCAACCCTCGTCCGCCGGAGAGCCGCTCCCTCTGTTAAAAATAGTTTCAGTCCAAATATCACAGCTCGGTGGTCTGACCCGGGTGCCCCTCGCCTTTCTCTCTCGGTGCAGTGAGTCGATCCAGAGCACCATTCCCGTGCTTATTCCCGGTTAGCAAACAGCGACGCTAGCTCTCGTTGAACCCCCCCCCGCCTCTCCAGGAGACCCGACCCCATTTTTCCCGCACGCCACGTGGTGTGCTCCCCTGGCGGGACACCCCGCTGTCTGGGCGCGGGTCTGTCACTGTTTTCCCGGCGCGCACGGCCAATAACTGGAGCACACAATCACGGGGCTCACGCTGACTAAAGCCTGTAACTCAAGCCCCATGGTGAGTGGCAGAAACGCCACCGGGACTCGTCCTGTTGGAAAGCTTCAACCTGTACGCGTGAATAAAGCGGCGGCGTTTAATCCGTCTTCTCTGGCGGCACGACTATCTTATTCGACGCAGCTGTGTGTTGTTGTGCTAAGGGCCGTCTTCACTGAGGCCTGGAGTCAAGCACGAGGGAGGAGGGAGAGAGAGGAGAGCGAGGAGCATCCGGACAACAGGCGGAAGGGCGCCCCGCAGCGTCCGACTGGTGCTCTGCATGGGAGCCAGTATATATATGTATATGTAAACGTAAATGTCAAGACATATACTGTAAATCTGCTTCATTATAAAACTGACAGTGTTATTAAGTAGTTGAAGAAGAATTGTATACCAGGTTGTGAAAAGGTACTCATTAATAAAGGGTTTTTAAAATGATGTTGACTAGAACATTAATAAAGGGTAATTACAGCTAAGTCTGTAGTTATAAATGTTAATCAATCATTAATAAAGAGTAATGATAACAATAATCAAAGTTTGAGGTCATAAATGTTGATTATTTGTTCCTAAATGAATTTCGGTCCATGCTCTGCATCACTTGTTCCAAAGGATCATGGGTGTCCTCCTTAAGAATTCAAACGCTAAAAAGTTAAGTCAAAATAGTGGTTTCTATTAATGGCTTACAACCGGTCCGTAAAGCATTGGTAAATTATTTATTAACCTGTGATAAGGCCATTTGTTACAACTTATAAACCCTCTATAAGGTGGTATTATTTATGCAAATGCAAATGTTTTTTGTGTTTAAGTCCTTTTAAGTGAAAAAGTGCCAATTCACAAAAACACAACATTCACTGGTTCTGAAACTTCTTGGAGGTGTTTGGTGGTTTGCTTTGTTCTCTTAGTTTTGGCCTTTTGGGAGACTGTGATGGGCATTTTTCTCTATTTTTCACAGACCAAATACTATATTGATAAACAATGAACAAAATTGATCCCAAAAAGTAATCACCAGTTTGAGTCCAAGTGCTAAGAAGACTGAGATCCTCAGGCCCACACGGTGCTGTTGGTCATTCACTTTGCATACCCTGTGAGGAAAGCTGAACGGTGCACTGAAACTGGAGAGGGTATGGAGATCTATACGGGGCTAGATATAGTTAGGGGCAGGGCAGAGGACAGACGGAGTGAGACCGGGCAGGCATGAGAAGGGGAACAGGCTAAATTCAGACAGTGATACATGCTGGGCAGAGGGTCATGCTAATCTTAGCTCTTTCTCAGAGGTGAGAAGAGGGGTCTGTCTATATTTGCTGCCATAAATAAGCATACTGACACAGTTTCAGACGGCCCTCTGGGCAGAAGCCAGTCCTTAAGGCCAGCTTGGCCATGCTGATTATTCTTAGATGGTGGTGTATAGCGAGAGTAGGGTGACAATGCCTATAAACTGATCTGCTTATTGCACTTTCCTTTCAAAAGGGTTCAAGGTGTAAGTGTGTGGACCAAGCGGCGCTCTAATCACAGCCAGTGAATTTACAACCACAGCAAGAGATGGGACCAGGTGCAAAGCTACCTATAGGTCCTTGTGGGGGTTGGGGGTTCTGGCTGTATTTGGTCTCAGGGCCTGTGACAGACACGGACACCTGTGGGTTTATTGGACTAACACCTTTGAATTGCCCTTAGAAAACATCTGCCTAAAAATGACAGGATCAGGGAAAGTATTGTGTAAAACTGTGAGAACCTAAATGTTTTAATTCTGTGGAGCATATCAAAACATATGAAAACAAAATCACACACGTGCATTTGTACCCCAAGTGAAGATAGACCTTGTAGTTTAGATGACACATTGCCACCTGCTGGTGATTTGAAAGCAATACAAGCTTCAAGGCTTCTGGTGAAGAAAACATGCAAAGCTCAGCACTTTCTACATTGGGCATGTCTGGACAAAACATTCTTCAACTCTAAATAGTGCACAACTGTCCGTCTAGATGAATAAGTAAATAAATCTAATCCAGCAAGCAATAAAATCTTTAACTAACTGTCTACAACATTCGTGAACGTAATAGCAATAAAACCAGTAAATCAAACTTTTGCTGACAAACAGAGAAGTAAAGCTACTAGGTTCTCTTTTGTCGGAGAGGTATCTCTATGGGATCCTATGTCTATGTGATGTTCTGGTCAAGTTAAGATTAAAGTTGTACACACGGAACCATTTTGGGCCTCATGATGGAGAGACTCACTTAAGTTTGACACAACTTACAATGCAGAAGAGGTACCTCAGTGATGTCTTATGCTGCTGTATGACCCTCAGTGAAACCAATGTTGAAGAGAGAGACATGAGGATATGAGACCATTTCAATAAAGGGTTGACCTTTTTATTTCAGTTTATATTCTGTACAGTTCTACTGCTATATTTATACACACTTCTTCAGTTAAAACAAACCAAATTGCAAAAAAGCATTAAGTCTCAAACATCCTTAACATAATATCATATGGATGAGGTGGACTAAAAAATAAATAACACACACCACACACACACACACAGAGGGTTTATTGGAAAGACTATGCGTTCTGGGTAAGGGGGGGGGGGAATGATTTATGCACCACCCAAGAAAGACAGATTTGCACACATGCAAAAGCACCCATACATACGTTTAGGCGTGTGTGTGCTGAAACACACCTTACATAGACACACACAGGTGCACATGAAACAAAAGGCACTGCCAGCAGGAAAAGCTTGGGCTTTGGAGAGTGGCGTTAAAAAAATGAAACAGGTTTGGGTTTACTGAGAAGCATGTGCTTATGGACAATGGGCCTCATTTATCAGTATTTCTATGGTATTAAATAAAAGATGTCTGTGTGTAAAATGTTTACAGTAAATGCTTTGGTTAAATGCAATCGTTTTATGATACATGCATGCCAAATACCTTTTACAAAACAACCAAATTTGCAGTTGTAATGTATTATAATACATGTGCACTTAATGCATGTTTTAATACTCCATAAGTGAGGCCCGATGAGGGAGCGCTCATGACACGCAGACACTCACTATAAAACAATTTTCACATTGTCCTCAGTGCCGTAGATGAGCACACACAAACACACACACACACCAACCAGTAGGAATGATACCAAAAGAATATTAATATTCATTGTAACAACAACAAAGTTAAAACCTTGTCACTCTTTTTCCAGTGTCTACATAATACATATGCATTGCAAACACATCATTGGTACATCATAGCCATTATCATGAATTCTATATATTTTTTGTTTCTTTTTTGGGGTGGAAGGTGGGGGATATAAAAGAAAAAAGAAGCAGAAATGCATGCCCCGCCATTTGTGGGCCATTCAGTGATCTGCATCTATATGTGCAAAAACAGAAGCCGGTTTCATTTTTACATACACCACCTTTAGTTAGATAAACTTCCAAATCCCTTTAAAATCCTTTCGATAGATCGGTCCTTTAGAAGCTTTGGTGTAAAAGTCCTCTCACATTCAAATGCAACCTATATACCGTAACAGCGTAAAATCACTTTTACAATAAAGCGTAAAATCTGTGAAGGTATGTTGGATTGCCTCGCTCAGTAGGCTTCATCTGCAGGTAGAGATCATGCAAGGTTGGTTAGTTAAGGATTAAGGGAGGGGGAAATGAAATCACAGCTAACACCTGTGAGGAGAAGATTCGTAACTGGGTCGGACTCAACTTCCTGTCAGCGAAGCCCCTTCACGCACATCTTTTCACGTGGCATTAAAGAGGAAAAAGAGAATAATTGGAACAAATAAAGAAGGCAGAGATATTGGTCAAAGTGGGATAAAATAGGGGTTGTGAAGGTATGGAATTCGGTTTCTTTCCTCCTTTAGGTTTTCTCTTTGCTCAACACGTGCTCCCTGAGAAAAATCAGAGAATGGATCTCACTTTCTTATCTTTCCATTCTTTCTTGTTGTAGCATCCAAAGCAGCATTCTGCTTCCAACCTTGATCCTTAACACCTCCCTCGCAAATCTTATATTCCAGCAGAAAAATAAAACATCTGGTGATAATCTTATACATCAATTCCAAGAAAGAAAAAAAAAGGAACAGTATGATTGTCCTTCCATCACAAAGAGATGCTGAAAAAAGTAATCATGCCTTCTGTTTTACTTCTAACTCTATGTGCAGGGGGATGAGCTGAGAGAGACTCATGCATTAAGTAACACTTGCAGTAGCAGCAGCAGCAGTAGCAGAAAAAGAAGGAATCTTTAAAAACACCATTGGTTAACATCAGTCCCAAACGAGATTTGTTGGAGTTTCTGATCCTTGTCCTTGGCAATGAAAACACCACTTGTCCAATCGGCTAGCAGACCACACACACTGTAGCCTTTCGTGTCGCTTTCAACCCCTGATTCCGTCCTCAACGAGTAGACGTATGGATTGGGTCGTATGCGTCCTGAGAAAGGGTATGCATCTGTGTGTGGATGTACTGTATGTCTAGGTCACGGGGTCTTTAGGGGTCAATGGGTCAGTCTCTCCCTGGGCTGGTCATTAGGTAACAGGTAAGGTGTTAGGGGTCATGTTGTTTAAGGGCCCGTTGTAGTCTCTGTCGGTACAGAGCATATTTTTGCTCCACTGCCCGCACACGCTCCGACTCCTCCTTCTCCAGGATTACCAGGAAGTTTTGTAGCTCAGGGACAGAGAATGCATGCCACTGCCAGAGGAACAGTGAAAAACAGATTGTTATACCACTGCGAAAAGTTACTTTTTGCTACTGCTGAATATTGCCTTAGCAGCATGTACAACACAACTCCCATTTCATGCCAGATAGAGAATGTAGAAAAATTAACTGTGAGAAAATGATATACCACAGATATAAGTGTGTGTTTATATGTATGTGTAAGTGTGTGTGTTTCCTCACCTCCACCTCTCCAGTCTCATTTTCCTTAAGGACAAAGCTGAGTTGCTCTGGGTCAGGCCCAGCTATCAACCTCAGAAGAAGAGGACGCTCACATAGAGGAAGCTTCTGGAACAAATCTGGAGGAGGTAAAAAAAAAAAAAGAAGCACAAAATGACAATTTAGTGCTGTTGTTTAGGTACGTTTTCTGCTAATGAGCTAATAACTAGGTGTCTTTTTCTCACCCTGCCCGTCGCGGTGCGTCTGCCTGTACAGTGCAAACTTGCGGGGATTGTCCAACACCATGAATTTCTTCAGCAAGGCCTGGATGACCTCTCTGGTGGTGGTCAGAGAGCTTATGTGGAGCTGCTTCACACAATCGCATGGTAGGTAGAAGGATGTTCTCTTTTCACTCTGCCCACAGTCCTTGCCTTCCTGGCACTCTGACGGTGCTTGATTGTTCGCCTTCACATCGGGGACTGTGACTGGTCGACTGAGCCTCAGGTGGACCTTAATGAAGCCTGTGTAGGATCCGTCTGAAGCCTAGAACACACAGAGAGAGGAGAAGGAGGGGGACGGTGAGCGGGTGGAGGCACATTTCAGTGTTGATCCAGTATGTGCACTATAGCAGGACTGAAGAAGAACTATTCTGGCACATAACCCCCTCGAATAACCACAAAATCACTTCACTTCGGTTTTTGTACAAAATAAACAAACAAGATATATGATGTTAATTAATGAAGTTTAGGGGGATTTTGTTACCTTCGGACAGAGCCCAGCTGGCTGTTTCCCCCAGTTTACGGTCTTTACGCTAAGCTAAGCTAACCTGCTGCTATATTTTTTATATATGTATATCAGTTATTTTATTCTGATGTAGTCATGCATATTTAATTGTCACTTGCCTGTACATTATTTAGTGTGGTAAATCAACTCCACGCTCCTCTCATCTCTTTCCTACTGATATCCTACTTTTGTTCCTACTTTAGTATAGTCGCGTGCTACGTTATGTCCAGGCTCAATTTACTGTTTCTCTTCATCAAATTAGAAAGTAAGAAGGTTCTTTGTTTCATTATTAGTTTGACATTATACAGTAGTACACTCACCAGCTACAACAAGTGTTCAGAACTCACCAGTTTCATGCCATTTTCAGAGATTTGAGTGTTATACTCTTCTATCCTTGTCCGCACTTCGTCCTCTGACAGGTCCTTTGTTCCTCTCTCCTCTTCCTCCTTTGCTTCATTCTGCTGTAAAACAGAAAGAAAAGGGGTGTCAGTATTAAAATATAGTATTGTATATAGTATGCACTGGTAGTGTCTGTGTTTTATTTAAACCAGCAGATGGTGCTGCTTCCACCAAGTCCTGTAAAAACCAAACTATGTTGCTTTGCTCAAGTTAATGACTAGAGAGCAGAATCAAGAGAAACCCATTCACCCTTTAAAGAAAAGTGGGCCGACTGATTAGAAGACCTACCAGGTGTCATATTGGGTTGAAAACAAGATTAAAGAGCACGTAGGCCAGTCCCTGCACTCTGTGGTCTCCCTATCAATATCAACTACTTGGGACAACACCTCCCTCTCCAAATCCTCCATCTTTGTCAACCTCAGGAAGAAAAGCTGCTGCTCTGACTGAGGACGATGGGGATTTTTACAGGCACTACACTATCTCTTCTTTCACAGCGTGCTTACACAACTCTGCAGCTCTACATGTGGACAGGAAATGTTGTGAATGGAGCAAATCACACATTCAGAATCACAGCACGACAATATTGACAGCGCTGCCTCCCTTTCACTTTTACTCATTTCTCTCTGTGACTAGGAGTGACAGAGAGAGGGGGAAGAAGCAATGAAAGGAGGAGGAGAGGGACGCCAAGAGGGGGAGGCAGTGGAAGAGGCGAGTAAATGGTAAGGAATGATGAAAGGGCGGCTGCTGAGCCAGCCTTAGCAACACAGAGTTTGACTGGGTTATTTATAGTACAGTGGGATGCATCCTCTATCTCACAATAGCATTTTTTTTCCTTCTGTTGTTTGTTTGTATTTTCTGGGGCAGAGTGTGTGTGTGTGTGTGTGTGTGTGTGTGTGTGTATGTGAGAGAATGATAAGGCAGGAATCATTTCTGTAGGGGAGTCCTCGGGTTGTGTGATGAAGTCACTATTTCACTGATGCAAGTGCATGTGCAAACTGAAGCACCTTGTGGTAATAAACAACACACACAGACACACACAGCACTGCAAGTGTTCAGCAAAAAGAGGGGATAACATTGTAACATTTAAAATTTCAAGGAGAAGGATGGTGGGACTGAACTCTGTGTGGCTGCCTTTATCTCTTCCACACTTATCATCAGCCACTCCTCTGTGCAGTTATGGTCCTAATATCACGGTAAATGTCCATGTTGCTGTGAAACAGCAGTGACAGCGGCTGATGCTATTATTGTTGGTGCATATCATGAATTCAATCATTCAAATCCCTCTTAATTAGGGCACAAACACATTTAATATTAAGAGTTCACAGTCCTGGCTGTGTATCTCTACAGACTCATAGAGTCACTAAGTGTGATAATCTCATTGATATAAGAACATAATAACAATTCGTACTTTTAATAAAAATGGTGGCTAAATGAGATGAAAGCGTATACTGCAAAATCCAGAGTTAAGAAAAGAATCTGAGGCATACGGAGGAGTTGACGTGTATCTAAAATTCCTCCCAGTGAAAAGAACCTTGCAGGAATTCCTGCGTTTGTATGCAAGTTTCTAAATGTATCAGAGCCAGTGCCCTGCCCTCCCTTTCTGCATACCAGTGAGAGTGGTCAAGGGACAATCGAGCGGGACAATAGAGCAGTTTCCGCCCCTGAGAGTTCCACAGAGTCCTGGGACACTTGGACCAGGTCATGAAGGAGCCAATGGCCGACAAGACACAGAAACAGAGACATGTGAACCCTGAAAAGGCTTGCACAGTCTGCACTGTTGTTACAGGAAAACCCCCTACATTTTGACAGATTAGCACCGTGGTCAACTTGCTGTGAGGAGTGTGTTAAGTAATAAACAATATGAGACATTGTCACCCACAGTACATCATTGGTTCCAGAGCCCTAGTTTAACTGGTTACTATACAATGATACTAAATGATGCAGGGTAATAACACTGATCTTATGTTTTTACTTTATTGCCGACACATTTATTAACATAATAAACATAACTGACTCTTGACTCGCAGCAAGGTTCATCAAGTTCACTTGTAGAAACATAACGCGTTGTCTGATTGATGTTTTAATATTATGTCTAAACTGGTCCAATCTGATACACCAAACTATCAGGTTTTGCTAATAAATTCTCATTTTGACTCAGCATGCACAGTGACACAGGTGACCAAAAATATACAGATTAATATTACCCAGAAAACACCAGCCTCTGGTAATAACTGTAACTGATTTGTCACTGTCTGGATAATAACAATATCACAGGTGACAGGTCCAGGCCATTTAATCCAGTTTAATGATGTGATTCAGATAGATGTAAAGCAGCTTAAGTGTGTAACATATCTAGGACAATTACATAAGGGTCACACATATGTACAACACACCATGCAGATACACACACAATGCCTCAGGGTGACATGAGTAAGTGTTGATGCTCTCACTCTGATGAGATCAGACAAGAGAGGTCACCTGACTGCTGCAAAATACTCAGTATTAAACCATGTGCCAACCAGTCTGTGTATAACCTGGCCACCTTATCATTAACTTGAACTTAACCTTGACTTTGTCTGTCAAACCTGCAAGTGTGTGTGTGTGTGTGCGATTGACATCATGATCTTCAGGTAACAGTAGCCTCTAGGATCGATTACAACTGGCTAAGATTGAGGACATGCTGTCAGAGCCAAACTAACAATACTCAACTAGTAGAGAGCAAAAAATATGGCCATTTTCCAACAATAACACATGAACATGCACAGCACACACACATACATATCCACATACACATATTGATAACAGCATGTGTTAGCACAACGCCTTTACCGGGTCAAGTGTCGAGGAGGAGAAGCACAATCAAGAACACACACGCTGATTCTATTTCACAGCTCAGAGACCGCTGTGTACCAGCACTGCCAGCAGTACACACACACACACAAAACACACACAGCACACACACACACACACACACACACACACACACAAAACACATTAAAGCTGGTTGGCTAATCTGGAGCAAAAGGCTCGGCTCTGGAAATAATTCATAAAGAAAAGAGGATCTGAACTCTTCCGCTGTATGGATGAATGTAAGTATCTCCCAGTGAAGAAGACAGTGACACATTTTAATTTCTTATATACTAACCACATGATAATATCTCTATTCACAGGATGCCACACAGACATTTTGCATATCTCCTTTTCCTATTCAAACACAGGAAAAAGAGGACACTTTACTTTTACTGCTCTACCAGAGGATACAATTCAATTACTAATACGTAGAACCACTTTACCCAGTGTTCTATAGACTGTGCTCCTGTACTCAGCTCATCAGCTGGCAGCTTCTGTGCTGCCAGCCCAGACAAGCTAACCCCAATACCCTTCTGTCTCGGTACAGCGGCAACCCTAACTCCACACGCTGACAACACAGCTGGTCAATTATTCAGAGATTATACCTTCTCCAAGTCAGACACCAAAGGCACAGCCAGGATAAGGACAGCAAGAGGAAGGCTGAGCATGTCTTAAATGAACCTGAATGTCTGTGTGCTTTCAGAAAGTTAAGCTTCTTCTGCAACCAAAAACATTTCTTTTCTATCTGTCACACTCCGCGTCTCCCTCTTCTGCTATATGAAATCACTCACTCACCTCACCTACTATGCATCATGGGAAAATCCCCCACAAAGAAGATGCACCTAGCACCCGGGCAGCGCAAGTAATACTGTATATACTGCGGCGATAGCATATGACACAATTTTACGTGAAGTAATCCAATGTACAGTAGACTGAAACCAAATCTCAGGAAGTGTGTACAGTGCCAACAGAAGCATGAGTTGCTATGGTAACGAGGAAAATGGTTTGCTACAGTTAAGTAGTTGCCGTTCACACACAGACACCCACACACACACTCGTTCTAGTGAAGAAGTATGAGCTTTGTTTCTAAAGAAACCTCTCCCACGCAGTGTAGAGAGGAAGGCTCTATGGCATCTGTAGGTTAACATCATTAACTCTGCTAAAACACAGCAAACACATTATTTCTGTTGAGATGAAACCACACAGCAGTAAGCCTTCACTCTCCAAACAGTGTTTTCAGACAATGATGCTAATTCTGTGCTAGCCACTCACACGATAAATGAGCTGCCAAAAGGCATCAAGGCTGATGAACAAGGTTTGACAGGCCAGAGATCAATGTGACACAACAGATGTATGACAGCAACCCCTTCCCACACTCTCACATAGTCACACACCTAGAGGCCTACTTAAGCATGCACAAACACCACCACTTCCTCTCCACACTTCTGCTTTTAGACGGCATGTTTCTCATAAATGGCAGTTTGTTTCCCAGCCCAACTGAAACACCGACAATCTGACCCATCAGAATGTGTCTTACTCTTGAGCTTTCATCTATCAGAGTATCTGTACCTTAGCTGCATGCTTGGGCTTGCCGAAGAACGAGGTCTTGGCTGTGAAGAAACTGAAGTCTTCGCTCTCATCATCCAGGCTGCAGTACCCGCTGCTCATGCTGTTACTGCTGGTCATGGAGGGGGTCGGCACTGTGTTGACAGTCATGGAGAGGTCCAGAGATGGCCACCGGTACAAGTGCAGCACCGGAGCAGCACGATGACGCTGGCTTGAGGAAGTGCTGGTTTATTTTCCAAAAAGGCAGGGCCGATGTGACACTCGGCCACAATCAGAGTCTGCGTGCATCTAACTGTCCTTTACTCATCCAGAAAAAGTCAGCGCTCCTCTGCTCGCGCATCCGGAGAGTTAAGGTCCCACCTGTGAGGGCGAGACAGGTGAACTGGGCGAGGATTCAACACTTTGCGTGCCACCGGAGAGGGGACCAGGAAATCCGAGAGCGAGCACAGACGTGTCACTTCCTCCTATGTGTATGCTCTGACGCCGGTGTCACAAACACGCACACACCAGACAGTATATTCACCTGGTCATTTGCAGCTTAACATACACACATGTGCACGCTCATACACAGCATGTGACTGCCTCGCACACACGCATCGGCAAACAATGGTGTCATGGAGTCAGTTTACAGGTTGGTTTCAAGTTAACCCTGCTCACCTGAGAGCCCCTGTTATACACACAAACGCTTATATATGGCACGCATGCAATACCACATCCTGCTTTCTTCCTGCTCTGTGCCTCTGTGAAGTCAAAAAACGAAGAACAGTTCAGCTCTTCCCAGTTGCAGCAGCAGCTCAATTATGCCGGCATGTTATGAGCGTGAGCATCCATCCGTCCCCGGAGTCCAAAGTAAACAGCAGGCAGAAGATTTCTTGGCGTTCATAGACCCTGTACTATCTCCTCTCTCCTCTTCTCTCCGTTGCTTTGGCAATACTGCCAGAGAGACGGATGCCTCCCACACTCTTTCTTATACTCTCCCTCCCTCTCTTCTCCTGTCTCTCTCTTTCTGTCTGTCTCTGCACCCGCTTTTGCTCCCTCACTCTCTTGCAGCCTTGCTCAACCATCTGTGGTTGAGTGTGTTATCAGACTGCAAGCACCCTCCCCCTTCTCCCTCCACTCTCTCTCTCTCTCTTCCTGCAAGCGACTGCACCCTGCAGAGCATGGCCACTTCCTCTTACAGAGAGAGAGAGAGAGACAGAGAGAGAGAGACAGAGACAGAGAGGCATGGGTAAGTAGAAAGAGAAACGCTGATGAGTGAGAGATATGAAGCCTCACAGCTACTGTTTTACATACGTCAGAGCAGCAGTGACAGGAAGCAACAGAGAGGCCGGGGGAAGATGGCTGCTCCTCTCGTGAGATTCTGCTGCAGGATGCAACGGTTCACCGGTAGCCATCACAACCACTGTAAACATGCGGCTTTCATGTAGGGCCAATGCCATAATTAGAGCTAATGTTTCCCCACCCAAAGCAATCAGAGATAAATACAGCCCAGAAAATAAAAACCCTCCAGAGCTGCACTACCACAGCTAATTTGTTGGTGGAGGAGAGGTCTCACTCTCAGCGCTTAAAGTGAGATTAAGAAAATAATTAACAATTGCCCTCAGGATAGAGATTACAGTGACCTCTAACCTTATACTGCTCCTACAATCTGCCCTCTGACCCTCGTCAAAAAAGCGGCTACTGCCCCCGTCACTGTTGAGGTTGATGGTGCTTATGTGCGTCTGTCTCCACCTGCCGTTTCTGTGTGTGTAATATGATTTCAATATGTACTCAGACATGATTATAGGTAAACCTATATGCTACTGGAGGGCTGCAGCATGCAGGGACAGTGCGTCTCCCTTTCATCGGGTGTCTTTCTGTCAGGTTAAAGTCAGACGAAGACTGATTACCTGCAGCTCTGCTCCTCGCTTCCATCAGTGTAATCACTAAGGGAGAAAGGCATCGTGCAGGGGGTGGGATGCTGAATACACACACACACACACACATACTGAACGACACTCTACTACTGGCTTTGAGTCGATGAAGCCTGGTCAATGTGCTGCATGAATGTGCTTATTGGGGGTAAAAGGGAATCAATTTCTGCTGATGCACACACAAAAGAGAGAGGGGAAGAAAACATAAGCCCACACACACACACACAAACACACACACACACAGAGCTGTAGCTACAAAACAGAGCAAAAGGGGAGAAAAGGGACTGCAGGAAATGAACTGTCATATTTCCTCTTGTCTGCGGGACTAGTGTACTCTTATGAACAAAAAAACAGAGTGTGGAGAGAGGCAAGCCAAAGTCACAGAGTTCACATGCCTCTAAGACAAGACATCATCAACGCTCACTTAATCCTGACTTTCAGCTCATTATCTTGAACTACACAATCATTAAACTCAGAAAGATGAAGTAGCAGTCATTAAGCTAAAAATTACTCTAAAAAAATAATATGCCATTATTTTGTTCCAGTAGATGTGGACCAGTGAAAGAAATTAGAATGTGTTTTGATCAGCAGCCTAAACTGTAGTTTGAGCAGTTGCCTCTTGACATTTGGTAAAATGTACTCGATTCATTCCCTTCCCTCGCTCACTCGCTCCAATTCCCATCAACATGTTTCAGTGGGGTATGATTGTGGTTATTTGTTCGCGCTCTCTAGAAGCGGAGTACTACCTGGCACACTACCAGGGGTCTAATTTTGTGTTATCTGCTCCCCGGGCAGAGAATAGCTGCCAACATTCTACTGCAGGCCTGTGGGGTTATCCAGCTTTCTCTCGTGCATGATATGTATGTGAGTGTTTGTGTGTGTGTGTGTGGACCACATTGCGTGGGTGACTGATGCTAGGATGCCAAGAGCAGCATGCAGATTCACACTCTCTCAGATTCCTGTACACACACACACAAAGAATGGGTAAAGCACTATTTTGAGGATTCATTTTACATAATTACTGTATTACTAGATAGCCTGTGGCTCGTATAGTGTGAGAGTATGAAAAATGATGGATTTTGAGTTTAACTTGATGCATAATATTGCAATAATGGAAAACTAAACACATTCCACTAGCATAGTGAGCAATGGAGGTCCCTACAGAGAACAGCGATTAACCTAATTAGTTAGCATTCACATAAGAGAAGCTGAGGAAGTGAGGACATCAGGATCCACCACTGATTGAATGAATCAAACCCATACTACAGGGGAGAGATGACAAGAGAACAACAGAGCAGGCAGGAGAGAGGGAGGCACATTAGATGCTTAGGTGACGTAGCATATTCTGTCCTGGGAACATTCTGTGACCAAAAAAAGCAAATGAGCGCATATATAAATAAATTCATAAGTAGACAACCGAGGAGGAGGAGGAGGAGGAGGAGAGACAGTATGTTGTGAAAGCGGAGGATGGTTATGTAAAAGTGTAGGCCTGGAGAGATGCTGCAAAATGAACCCTGCCATTACCCAATAGTGACTCACGTACACCTCTGCAAAATAACATTCATACAAGAGTTCAACACACTCAGTGTTAGATGAATATGTTTGTTCTTCAGCAGTGCCCCTAAAAAGCCACAAATAGTTCTCCACAGCCTTTTCTTTACGCTTTATTCTACCAAATAATATTTTTGGTTTCGTGTTTGAAATGCCTGACCTTATGTTGAGGGGCTGTGGAGGAGCAGCAGCTTCTGGGAGATGGAGTTTCTTCAGGCCTTCTGTCCCTCTGGTTGCAGTCCAGCTGGACCTCGTTCTCACACTCCAGGTGACAGGTGTAGTTGCAGTCTGATGAAAAGACAAAGACACCAATCAGAGATAAAAGCACAAAGGACAGAACCAATGTCTGAAAAGCAGTGAATAAAATGCCGTCAGACATTGATGAATCTGTGAACTATATTCATGTCAGAGAGTGTAATGCTGATTAGTCACCTGTAAGTGAGTGAGTGAAGAAGACAGCCTTATTCTGATTTAATCAAACATGCATAATCATGCAAATACTCCCTTTACGCAGAGAAATAGCTCCATCTAGTGGCTAATGTCAGACACACACCTACAAGGTACTGGGGCTGCAGTGCGAGTGCTCATTAACAAAACATACCTGCCAATATTTATTTATGTGTAGAGTGACTTAGATTGAACAATAGCACACACAAGATACACTTATCCACTTATTGTTATGACATAAACACAAATTATCCCAGCAATTAACCTACCAATTACACCTCTGAGATCCACTCCTGTACATCTCATTTACCCATCAGATGGCTGGAAATACTTCGCTAAGTACAACTGTCAAAAACGATATCTTCCTGTGCAGACTCATTACACAATCTATAATGGACATGTTGTACATGGTCAAGCATAGATCATAAAGGGAATAAATACATAATGTGATACACACAACCTTTATCGTAACAATAGATGGACACGCTCCTTTTACACCAGTACAGCAGCCCTGGTATGGTCAACTCACATCTTACTGCTATGCTAGAAAAGAATAGATTTAGGTACTTCCCCCAAAACGTCCCAAAATAGTCCACTGTTCTTTGATTTTTCGTTGGTCCCACATATGACAGCCTCGGTTTGTTTATGCCTTACTGACTTTATTGTGGCCAGAGGCTTTTCCACTGAGACGCATAGCCACACATCTAACTTCTCCTCTGTTGGTGAGATGATCCATGCTAAAGAAAAGAGAGATTTTAAAAACCGCACGGGCAAAGAGAAGACTGCAGTTTGGGGGAAACTCTGAGTCAGATCCTTTTTAAGGTCCCCAAGCAGGAAAGCTTCTTAAATAAAAACACTTTACAGTAGGCTACACGCAATCAGCCAGGCTGGATAAAAAAAAAAGATTTCAAGAACATTCTGTTCAGAAGCTAATAGTTGATTATTTGCGTTGTTTTCTGGTACACCTCTTTGTTGCTGCAGTCAGTGCTGAGTTAGTGAACTAAGCTAAGCCTGGCTGGTTTTCTGTCAAGTGATATTAGTGGCTCTGTCTGTATCCTGCTAACAGAGGGACACCGCTCGCACTCAGCATCAGCACCGTAACCGTGGCAACAAGCTTCTTGATGACCACTGTAGAAAGATAAGCGCTCTACTTACATAAGGTCACTGCAATAATTAGCTATAAAGCCCAGATAAATCACCAGTGAGTTTTACTTAACCTGGAATTGCAGGCATTTTCACAATAGTTCATTTGGCAATGAAATGCTCCATGCATTCTGCACTGGCATTGGAAAATAGTAGGCCTGATTATTGAAGCAAAGACAAAGAGGAGGGAGTAAAGGGAAGCAGGACACGGCCTACTGACAGGAGGGATATGTCCAGCAAAGAGGAAAGTTCAGATAAAGGATACTTTGACAGTTTAGAGGTCACTGAATTGAGGGAGGGAGATAGATGTAAGTAGGTGCGACAGAGATAGGTTGGCAGAGAGACGGAGAGTGACAGGGAAGGGCTGCAATACCTCGCTGACAGGAGGGATGTGTTGAGGAAAGAGCAGAGTTCAGATATGGGAAACTCTGCTCATGACCACTTAGAGGTCATTGCAGAAAGACAGAAAGAAAGGAAGCACACGGGGGAAGGGAAGAGAGAAACTCCTTTCCTGTCCCTTCATTTACTCCATCCACCCTCCTTCCTTCTGGATTAGAGAAAATATCAAACTTTTACCTAAACGATGCCCCGTGGAGGTTCTTTGTAAAGAAACAAAGATACAGATTCAGTGTTTCTCACCAAAATGCTTTGTGTTGTATCATGATGGAGGAAAATGGAGCCTTAAAAACATTGCTCCATAGCACTACTAGTGGTCAAAAACGTCACAGGGCACCTTTAAACTTCCTTTGCTCTCATTCTCAAGACAGAAAATAGTGTTTGTGTTAGGTGGTGGTTACTTAGGGAAGACCCTGCCCATGTCCTTTCTCCTGATAACTGATTTAGAAGGCAGGAATTACTGCTGAGCAAACTGCAAGGAAAATGGGAGGAACGCTCAGAGATTGAAACTTTTCCTTGTTTCACACCTACAGTAAGATACACCACTGTCAGCAAGTCACAGCAGTCCAACCCAGGATCCAGATCTTTCCCACACTGATAAGACTGACTCTCCCTCACACACATACATATTACTGTATATACACACGAGG